CGTCGGACAGTGTCAACGCCCGTTCGCTGTCCGTTGGCGAAGCACTCCCCAACGGAAACAACAGCGTGGAGGCATGCACTGCTGCCTGCTACGCCGCGGGATACAACTACGCCGGCATGGAATACGCGGACGAGTGTTGTGAGTGCCGTAGTTTCACGATCACTGAACGCCATCTCACCCTTGCAGACTGTGATTCTGCGATCCGTAATAGCGGCGCTTCCATACCGGAATCCAGCTGCAACATGGCCTGCAATGGTAATAGCACAGAGATCTGCGGAGGGCCGAATGCTCTTTCGCTGTATCATTACAATGGCACCGTTCCTCCGCCGACTGGTGGCGGAGCGCCTGGGGGCGGAACGACTGGTACTGTCTCACCTGTCACTTCTGGTCTGCCCACGCCTTGGAAGTATGCCGGCTGCTACATGTGAGTGTCGTCCCCGTTGTATTGACTTTCTCTGACAGATCGCGTCTGTTGCAGCGACAACGCCAATGGCCGTATCCTCTCCGTCGAGCAGCCGGACAACAGCAACCTTACCATTCAGAGCTGTATCGCGACCTGCAGTGCCGCCAACTACACGCTCGCCGCAGGGGAGTACGGTGTGCAATGCTTCTGCGGCAACGCTATCGTCCAAGGTGGCAAGCTCGCATCGGCGGATACGGACTGCGCCATGGCATGCGGCGGAAACGCAACCGAGGCGTGTGGTGGACCCAACCGCATGTCGGTCTACTCGTCAACAGCGAATATTACGATGTATGGCGTGCCAGTCACGCAGACGACAAACCTACCTGGCTCCTATCAATACAACAGCTGCATCGCCGAACCAGCCAATGGACGCGCATTCCCCTATCAGATCATCATGGACACGAACGCAACGGTCAATGCTTGTCTCAGCCTATGCGGAGAATACGGCTATCCCGCCGCGGGTATCGAGTACTCGAATCAGTGTTGTGAGTGTTTTGTCCAACCAACCTTGTATCGTAATCCTGACATCGTCGACTCTCAGGGTGCGGGGACGTGCGGGATGTCCAAACTAGTGGGGCAACAACGGCACCCGAGACCGACTGCAACATGGCTTGCAGTGGTGATCCTACGCATTTCTGCGGTGGTGCGAGCAGGATTTCATACTATACGTGGACCGGAACTCCGCTTCAGGTGTGGAACACGCCAGCCAACACTGGTTTCTACGAGGTGAGGCATTCACTCCGCGCTGTACTCGAGGTACTGATCATATCGTACCCGGTAGTTCTTCATTGGCGGACTCATCATTCCCCTCATCTCCACTCTCGGCATCAACAACAAAGTCACATTCCTGGAAAAGTTCGGTACGGGTGCGCCCAACACTACGGGCGCATACGAACTCGATCCGTCTCTCGCAAGCCAATATCAACTTGCGTGGCGAGAGATGCATGTCAAGTCTGACGTCTTCTGCTCCGGCGGCCTCATCCTGCCCGACAAGGCCGGACGCCAGATCAACGTAGGTGGATGGTCCCTCGATTCAACGTACGGTATCCGCCTTTATACACCCGACGGGAGTCCCGGGGTCAACGGAACAAACGACTGGGAGGAGAACTACGACGAGCTGGCCCTCCAGGTAAGTACGCAAGTGGCGTCTGTTGCGTGGTATACGAATACTCATCGTTTGTACAGAGAGGTCGCTGGTACCCAGGCGTCATGATGATGGCCAACGGCTCTATCCTCGTCGTCGGCGGCGAGAACGGTAGCAACGGGCCGCCCGTCCCGAGCTTGGAGATCTTGCCGGCTCCTCCGGGCGGCAACGTCGTCTACTTGGACTGGCTCAACCGCACTGACCCAAACAACCTGTATCCTTTCCTGTTCGTGCTTCCTGGCGGCGGCATTTTCACCGTCTACTACAATGAGGCGCGCATTCTTGATGCCGGCTCGTTCCAAACCACGAAAGTGCTCCCGAATTTGCCCGGCGCGGTGGACAATTTCCTCGGGGGTCGTACCTACCCGCTCGAGGGTACCGCAGTGTTGCTCCCCCAGCATGCGCCGTACACGGACCCCGTGACTGTCCTCGTCTGCGGCGGGTCGACACCGTACGGGGGAATAGCACTCGACAACTGCGTCTCAACGCAACCCGAGGTCGCCAACCCGACCTGGACAATTGAGCGCATGGTAGGTTTCCAGGCCCCTCTTTCTGGATTCGAAGTTTGACGAAACTGATTGCGACAGCCCACCAAGCGTGTCATGACCTGCATGGTCCCTCTCCCCGATGGCACGTTCATGATCATGAACGGCGCATTGCAAGGAGTGGCAGGCTTCGGCCTCGCCCGTGATGCGAATCTGCAAGCTTTGCTGTACGACCCTTCCCAGCCCGTCAATTCGCGCATCTCCATTCTCAACACGACCATCGTTGACCGTTTCTACCACTCGGAGGCGATCCTGCTCCATGACGGCCGCGTCCTCGTCTCGGGATCTGATCCAGAGACCCCGGCCGATCCCACAACCGGCTTCCCCGGCTACCCACAGGAGTATCGCGTCGAGGTGTACACGCCGCCGTATTTGAGCAACGGGCTCACGCAGCCGTCGTTTACCATCACCAACACCGATTGGTCCTACAACGGGCAGTACAGTGTCACGGTGACACTGCACCAGGGCACCACGGCTGGGATGCGTGTGTCCCTCGTCGGTGGTCAGTGACAATCGTATTGTCCGAGTCGTCTCCAATGTGCCGCCCGCTGATGCGTTCTTATAGCCGTTTCGAGCACACACGGAAACAGCTTCGGCAACCGCGTCTTCTTCCCTGCTTTCAGCTGCAGCGGCAACACTTGCACCATCACCGCACCGCCAAACGCCAATGTGTGTCCGCCAGGGTGGTTCCAACTTTTCGTCCTCGACGGGCCAACACCCTCGTATTCGCAATGGGTCCGCATCGGCGGCGACCCAGCGGCGCTCGGCAACTGGCCAACGTTCCCCGACTTCACGAGACCTGGTCTCTAGAGGCATGATACAGTAGCTCACGCGCTCATCAGTCGTCCGTGTTGTCGCCGAACCGCGGTCCACAGTGGTCTGTTTGTCCCTTCGAGTGTGTCACGCTTTGTCTCGCACTGTAGAACTCTACTTCCCCTTCCTTGGACCTGGGTGCTGTTTGGAAAGGACTCTCAATTGGACTTTAAATGGACATTATCTTCGTTGCCGTCCTCTGAGCTGCTCTTAGCGATCGCCAGTGTGACATAGTCCATGTACAAATCATGCCGACGACACTAGCTCTTGGTAAACCACTTCACCGCGCTTCCCCATCGGTTTGCTCACCTCCCCGACCTCCCTCCCTATTCGTCGCAGCCTCCTCGCTTCTCCTCCTCGCTCGTCTGCGTATCCAGAAACACATCCACCGCTTCGAACGTCCTCAAAAACACCTCGTACGGGGAAGTAACCAGCCCCGTCTGCCCTCCCACGACACTCGGCGTAATGAGGAACACGTCGGCAAAGCTCGGGGGGATCGTACCCGCAATGCCGAGAACGTGCTTGGGACCGCGGACCGTCCGGGTGAGAGCGAGTAATCGGGCATAGCCGTCGTCGTGGGTGAACCACTCGGAGTTGATCGAGAGGAGAGGGCAGGGTATGGGTTTCGACCAGGGTTCGATACGCTGGATAGCCGGGTCCATCGTGATGATGCTGGTTGGGTGGAAGCGGGGGTCTGCGGCGGCGGCGATCTGAAGAGGTCAGCGGAGACCGATGAGAGCAGGTGAACACGTAGACGTTGCGGGTGTGTGGGTCAGGTGAGAGACGATCAAACCGGGGCCAGCTTGCACGACGACAGCTGTCCCGGATGATTTATTCACGGTGCACGCGTACTCACCGCCTCTGTCCCGCCGAAACTGTGACCCGCAAACACCACATTCCCGTCTCCACACTCGACCATTGCCTCCACTGTTCCCAATCGACCGTCCTGCTCGCCTGAAGCCGGTTGGTGTTCTCGCCCAGCTTCCCCTCGGACACCCGATTCATCACATCCAGGGTCGCTCGCATCTCCACGAGGCGGATGGCCAGCTGGTCGTGTCGGAGCATCGTGTCGTCTTTTGGTTGTTCGTTTTCTGGGAGTTGCGGCCAGCTACTTCGTCAGATTCCAGATCTCAGGATATCTGGGAATAGAGGTCATTGCTGTATACCCACTGCAGATCTGTCCATCTGAGAAATCCACGTCCCGCTCCTGCCCGTCCTCACTCGTCACCCTCGCACTCGGACCTGTCCCGTCTCGATGCTCAACCGCAGCGACGACGTAGCCCCTACTGGCCAGCTCGCCTCATAGATGAGTGTACATCGACGAGGACACCCGACGCCGTGGGAGAAGAGGATGAGCGGCCACCTCTGCCCTGCGGGAGGGGAGAGCGGAGGGGCACGTTGCTACGCTGGGAACTTGAGTCCGTGGACTGCGGGGAAGGCTGCGACGTCTGAAACAGAGACGGGAGTCAGCCTGTACTCGGAGCCTGTCTCGGAAAGGGAGTGGTGAAGCGCTTGAAGGCTCACATGCGAGGCCCTTGAAGACGGGATTGTTTGTCCCGGCCACGTGCATCAAACCGTTTATAGTGGGGCCAAACCTGATCACCGCGTAAGCCCAGTAGGGACCCACCCGGACTCATGATCTTACTCAATATCTCCTCACTGACCTGGGGAATTACACCGCCCCCTTCTCAGCCTTCTCCTCCACCTTACAAGGGTGAGAACAGCGTGAACAGCACCGAGTCGATCTCCACTCCTGCTTGCGCATCCGATTTGAGCTTCTTGCGCTGAAACGATCAGATCCTCTGCTTTGGTATCCCGAACTCCACGTCCAGCACTCCCACATCATGTGGTCCAGAATAGTCGGCTAGGCGGCGGGTGAACAGGGTGCCGAACCTGGAGTGGGAGTATGGCGCCGAGATCTTCTGCGCGAGGGGTTTGGTGCCCGGCGGCTGGGGGGCGGTGGTCGAGCGGTCGTTGGTGGATGCGTCGGGGTAGTTTGTTCTCTGCTGTGGGCGGCTCTTCGCCTTGTCTAGACATGTTGGGTAAGTGAGGATGGATGCGAAGAGACACGTTGATGTTGGAATGTAGTATTTCGGACATTTACTGGTTCACCGGAATCTATGACGTATGATCGCCTGATGGTCACGTGCCATCGCTGGAATCAGAGACGTTTCAGGTTGAGATCCAGGCACATCGGCCCGATCAACCATCACCATCTCTCACCCGGGATCACCACCGTAACACATCCATCTCACTCTCGTCTGCCGTTGTCTCTTCCTCTCTTCTCTCTACCCGTTTCAACATCGACAGATACAGAAGAATTTATCAGATACTCCTCGTGATCTCACAACGGTCCGAGGCATCCAGCCGCGCCTGTGTCTGGGCCCTCGCTGACGATACGCAGTTTCGGGTCGGGCGGACAACCTTCCCTTCCTCCCTCGCACCCGTATCCGTGTGAGTCAGATACTTCCCTGGCGCAGAAGTGCTGCTCATGCAAACTATCTAGATACTGATCCGATAGAGCGGGAACGCAGAGACCGTACGAGCAGCTTTAGCTTACGATCATTCACGGCGGCATTGATCGCCTGGACGGCGCGACACGCCACCTGCGACCGGCTCAACATGGCTGTGAGTCTCGGTTGCGTGGTCATGCTCTCCCTTGTGTCCGCTGAGGCAGTTCTCGTAGGAAGCGACCAAGAACAATACGATCGCTGCGCAGGCATCCCCGTCGAAGCACGCGCCCAAAAAACGGCTCGCCGCCAGACCAGCTCGGAAAACAAACGGAGGGCGACGGCCAGACCTCGAACTCGCTCGGAACGCCAAGCCGTCCAAGCAATGTCAAGCTGTTCTGTTCAATCCAGAGCTGCTTCAGAGGATTGTTCACTTCTGCGGTCGCAGAACACAACATTCCCTTGCCGCGGCCAACGAGGTTCTCTTCAATATGGTGGGAAAACTGCTGTACACGACTCTTGCCATGGGATCGGACCATTATTCGGCCAGCGTTGTTTTCGATGGACTCGACGAGAGACGGGACGAGGAAGTCTGCGATGTACGTACTTCAAAAGCCCGGCTTCTCCGCATGGTCCGAACCCTCATCGATCCAGGACACGATGAGTGCGATCGAGATGATCTTCGACTCGGCTTCCGCCAAATGACCAAACATCACACTTTACAAGTCAATCTCAAGGAGCGTTGCTGCCTCTCGTGCTCGGTCTGCTACAACGGCCCAGCTTGTCCGTGTGTGACCGACCTCCGCTGCAAGAAGCTTGTCTTCGTCCAACTATCCGGCGAGAATATCAAGGGACGCCCTCTGGATGTATCGCAGCCACCTCGCCAGCATCGAGGAGGTCACTCCGCTCGATCGGCTCGAGTGCAGCTACGGTACTCAATCGACAGGCTGGAATGATCAGTAACGGGAAGATGTCGAGACCAATTGCGATCAGCTTCAAGACCGCCTCGGACTATCTCAAGGAAGGCCTCGACGATGAGCTTGACGACGAGTGTCTCGCCCAGCTCCGGCGCAGTCAGGCTAGGATCGGCAGCAACGTGGACGAGGAGGCCGAGTATCGTGATGCTGGGAAATCGTATTACGGGCGACCCATCTGGAAGATCACTTAGGGACTGGCTGGCACAGCACGTGAGTGGATTATGACGGGGCAATACCCGCACGCTGATCTCTCAGCACCGGCCTTTCGTATCGGCATGTGTATTGAAAGCGGCGGAGTGATGACGAGCAAGGAGGGTTGACATACATCATAATACGGCGGCAGTCCACGTTGGCATTGGCATGGGAAATTTTCCCTAGATCGTTATGTACATACATTGCACCAAACGAGCAGATCCATGTACCCCTATGCAAATCATGTTTGTTCCTCGTCCATCCTGGACCGCTTGCTGGGCCGCTGGTCCTCCAGGGATACATCTCCTCCGGCATCATGCTCCTCGTCCTCGCTAGGCGTGTCCTCCATCGCCATTTCGTCTTCACCTTCAATGCCCGAGTTGATTCTCCCCTGGCCGGTCACCTCCAGTCCCGCTGGTTGCTGCTCCTTGGCTTGCTCTTCCGCCTTTGTCGAGAGCAGATGCATATGGCTCCTGCGGCTCGTTAGCAAACGCACCGAGCACCCTTCAGACCTCTCACACTCGCGCCACTCACAATTCCCCGACACCAGACAACCACACCACCTCCTCTGGATGCACCTTGACCCCATGTATCTTCCTCGCGTCGTCCTCTTCCGCAGGGGGTTTCGCCTCGGCACTGGGCGAGTGGGCGACAGCTGCTGGCGGAGGGATCTTCCATCCCAGCTCGTGCGACAGCCACGTGACGATCGAATCAGCGTCGCCGAGGAGGCAGATCTACAGCGAGGGTGAGCTGCTTACCCGCATCCCGCAGCATGGATTGATTGCACGGGATCGGTGTCATCCGTGATGGACGGCCAGAGGGGGGGGGGGGGGGGATCAGGAGTACCCAACAGCAGAAACGGGTGAACACGACTCACATCGGGATGGACGTGCGCAACCGGGGTGAGATTGATGAATATCTGCGGTACCGAGTGTGGAATATGCGCTGATCACGCATTCAGCTAAGCCCCAACGCGGCGGGTCTTCATCTCACTCACTCAAGACCTCACTGACAGGCGCCACCTTGAGTGACGTCCCGATGATGACGAGCAGATCGACTTCCTCCCTATCCTTGAACAAGCATTCGTCGAACTCCGAGTCCAGCGCCTGCCCAAAGAACGTGATATCGGGCTGGGGCTATCAGCCTCCGCGCTTCCGCCTCATCATTTCTCCTCATCTCCACGTCCGAGCCACTCGCTCACTTTGATAATACCCGGCTCGCCGCCTCCCCACTCATCCTCCTCCTCCTCCTCGTCTTCACTTTCGCTCCCGCTCCCCCATCCTTTCGCCTTACCCTTGCCCTTCCCCTGCGCCTTCTTCCTCTCCGCCTTGTACGCCTTCTTTGCCTCCATCTCGGCATCGCGCTTCTGTCGGCATGAGCCGCAATACGGGATCTGCGAGGACATGATGTATGGTTCGATAGTTGGTCCCGGTGCACGCGTTTTACATCGCTGAGGCATAAGCACGCAGCTCGCGCCAAAACATCGGTCCCTAGGGCCGCGCCCACATTTCGCAGACGCGAAGAGGGGCCCACTCACCAAACAAGATGCAGTAGCGAAAGAGCCGTGACACTGGAGGACCTTTGTCACCCCCGCCAACGACTCGAGCGTGTCGATGTTTTGGGTGTAGTTTCGGAGAAGCTAGCCGGATGAGTGTGCGCCTCCCGGTGAGTGCTTGGATGAGGGTAAGCTTACGACCCCCCTATCCTCGAGAAGCTTGATCCAACGATGACATGGCGAGGGCGTAAAGTTACTGGGGTAGATCTGCTTGGCGAACGAGCTGAGGAGTGGTATGAGCGAGTCTCCAGTCCTCCAGATCTCCCTCGACTCGCAACGTCTCCGAAGTTGTGTCGTCATTACTACTCACTAAAACACCTCGGGATGTTCTCTGAAGTAGTGTATATCGAACATCTGCTGCGGATCGTCGAGCTCATACTTCCCCTCTTGCTGCAACTGGGCATACAACCCGTTCGCGCTCCTAAAGTCGGGGATGCCGCACGACGTCGAGATGCCCGCCCCGGAGAGGACGATAATGTTCCGGGCGGTCCGGAAGAGGTCGAGCGCCTGGGAGATGGTGGAGAGGTGGGAGAGACGCTCGCGCCGACGGAGGATGCGGGAGAGGGCGAGCTTGGTGAATGAGAGGAGGTAGAGGTTGGGGGTGGAGGGATGTCGGAGGGGTGCGGGCTGGGCGCGAGGTTAGCAGGAACCAAGGGCGAGGAAAGAGGGTGTGGTGGATGGGATGGTCAAAGCAGCCAAATGGGTGTTTGTGTGTTTGTGTGATCGTGTGACGCAGCTGTTCAAAGACAGACGACAAACAGCGGACCACAGACGACCGGCCCAGACGCCGCTCACTTACCGGGACGATGCCAAAGCCCAACAGCAACTTCCTCAGCGAGGCCACCTCCCCCTGCTCGTCAGGCTTGAGGTAATCTCGCAGGAACGTGATCAACCCCCTCTCCTTCAGTTTCGCCGTCATCTGCGCGACCTCCTCCTCCGTGAACCCCGTTTCGGCTACGCGGGGGTCAGCTCGATCTCTGGATCCCTCCTGTCTCCGTCTCGGGACCACATCCTTGAACCCCCGAGACCAAGAGCTGGGGATGATGGGTTCGAGCACGTGCTGCACGTATAAAGGAGCCAAACGATGCCTACCTTCCTCGACCAGCCGATCATACTCCTCATCTCCGAGATCATCTATGCCCGCCTCCGAGTCATACTCGTCGCTGTCTATTTGATATGTCTCCGCCGGGGTGATCTCGTGCACGAGCGACCCGTCGCTCATGATGTGATGGCGGCGGATTGGGGTCGCAAGTGCCCACGAGACGGTCACAAGAGGAAGGACGAGTCGGCGGTTGCTCGCACGCCGCTTCGGCGCGATGTGGGAGCGATGGATGGAGGTTGGGAATCCGGGAGTGGCTGGTGGCTGAATGAGACGACGACGAGGTGTTGCCAGACAACAGATGAAATGGGATGATTGAGATTGAGATGAGCGCGATAAGATCTGTGGATATGTGGATGGGACAGGAGCCAGGCACGGCGGCATTCTCCTGGGCGCAACTGCTTTCTTTTCCTGTTGTCTTATTCTCTCCCAACACCACATCTCGGGACAAGCACCGGCAACCTCAGGTTCTCTTCACGGTCTTACGCCCGCCCAGGGGAGGTGGTGTTGCGGGATAGGTCCGCGGGACGCCGTCATGGGAAGAGCGCCCCATCTTGGGACAGGTCCACTGATCGGCAAGCGAGTTGCCACCCGCCTCACATCACACCCACCATCTTCCTATCGCCCTTCACCACACCACGGCCTCACCTCTCAGCCACACCACACCTCTTGGAGAGCTGAACATCTACCTCACCTACCACCTCCATCTTCTCCCCCATGTCTGCCAACCCCCCGATCCTCTCCATTCCGGCTCAATCCCCCGACCCAGTCTCGCACATCAACACATTCCCCGCATCGCTCGCACCCCACGTGTCCGAGCACGCCGCGATCGGGACGCGCGAATTCGGGAACCAACGACCGCAAAGTCGCGACGAGGAGGGATGGAGGGGCAGGGCGAACTCATTGGATGTGGGCCCGGGGCAGCGGGAAAGGGGAGAAGGTTCGCAGAGGGAGGACTTCCGGTTGACAGCTGATGCGAGAGAAGGAAGTGCGAGATTTGCCTTCCAGCGGTACGTCGAGTGATCACAGCATGTGTCTTGCATGGACGAAGCTAAGCAAGTAGAGACCACGATTATCTTAGCTCTCGAAGGAGAACGCTTGATGGCAGTCTCCCGCGGATCATCACTACGCCGCAAGCTGTCCGCGTTGCGCGCCACTCCGACCCGAACAGATTGCCTGTTGACCGTGACATGGGCGCGGTGAGCCCAACGGAGAGCGCACGACGTGGGTAGACGCTCCTTCCTCTCCCTATCCTCTCAACTCATCCACGGGACTGCGGATCAAGCACGAGGACTATGACTCTCGCTGAACTCACCAGGCCGACACGCCCGCAAGATGCGCCGTCGGGAGAAGGCCGCCATCCTCAACGCCCGTCCTCCACCTTCGCCGGCCCATTCCGCTCACGCCCATCCCGCCCCGAAACGTCGTTCCTCCGAGAGCGATTCCGAGGCGGGACGAGCCCTGTCGGAGATCCTCTCCGGCGAGCGGCGAGCCGTCGGTGGGCGAGGAAAACGACGGAAGATGCAGCCTGGGATGGACCTGATCCGGCGCTGGAAGCCCGAGAACGTCGTCACTTCGCGCTTGACGGTGAGTCCACAGTGCCCTCTGCGTGTTGTGGATGTGGCTCTGAGAGAATGGAAGTCCGGCTTATGATGTCGAGTTAGATGAGACCCGGGACGAAAGGCCTCAAGGGAGGAATACTGGGCAAGGCGAAGACGTCCCTCCCGATCAGGGCGCCGTATTGGGGTGGTTCGAAGGCGGAGCAATCGGATCGTCAGTCAACAGTCGTCCGACGGCACGCACGCTACATCTCACTGACATGATCCATACATCCAGGGAAGAGACGCCAAGGCATCGAGGACAGCGAGGATGAGATGCATCTCTGGCACAGGCGACCGGAACAGAGGCGAAGATCACAGGGACGTTCGACGCCTGCCCCTGATACATCTCAGAGGATACCCTCCAGAGCATTCAGGTCGTCGTCTTGCGCTTTCGAGCAGGAGTCGAGGAACGCCATGTCGTCGACCCCTCGCCCTACCCGCTACGACAGACTACCCTCTGCTGGGATCACCAATTCCCCCTCCTGGCCGAGCTTCACCACTCACCAACGCAGTGATCCTCCGGTCATACCTGCTCACCCCGCCAACGTACAGGTGGCTCCGCAATCAAGTACGGGATCGATGGGATATCGAGACCCCTTCTCGTCCTTGGCGCACTCGTCGCGATCAACGCGACCAGCCCCACACACTGGCGTCAGAACTCCGCCATTCGCGCATCGTCCGGAACGGGAGACCTGGGAGACAGGCGGCCGGCAGCCGAAGCCAGTCGGATCGCAGCCAGCTCAT